TACTAGAACGCCCATAATCAGGACTTGGTCGACTCCTGCGATAAACTGGACTGGGTGACCTTCTGTAAGGACTATCTCTACCGCGCCTTCCATAATCTCTTCTGGGGGGGCTATCATATCTTCCACCCCTCTCATCATCATCCCTTAAAGCATATTCAACAGAAACCACTCTGTCTAATATCTTGCTGCACATTCACAAGACATGCTGTCAAGCCCATATGAATCAACAGAAACACAATCTCTCTTTTATGCTATCAGATGAAGAGAGATGCACCACTGCAAATGAGCAAAGCTTACCTCATGTGTGTGCACTCCAATGCTTTTGTGGCTTCTTCTTGCGTCTCAAATTGCACAAATGCAAAATTCCGACGAATGCGGACATTGAGAACCTTTCCATAAGGTTCAAAGTGTCGTTCTATGTCATAGACCCTAGTGCTAATAGGATCAAAGTTTATAACAAACAAAGTTTTAGTCGGTCTCTGGTTTGCTGCCTTGCTATCATGATGCCTGCCACGTTCACCCTGTCAAGAGGTTAAATTAATATTCTCCACCTTTTAATATTCAATAGCACATAGGACCATGGTAGAACCCAACTTATTTCATTACCCAAGAAAGAAACATAACAGCACACCCCTTAAGTCATTGTGAAACCAGCCAACAATAAGTACTGTTCAAAGTGATAATATAGGCTTGTTTGAGCCCCATTTTTTGGGAAGAATGAATTTTTGAATAGTGTATAGATGTGATATGTGGTTAAAAAATAAGAAAAAGTTTCGAATTTGTATTTAATATTATTTTATTGAAGAATGTGTGGCTGAGATGATGTCAAAAAACTAATAAAAAATGTATTTTTCCAAAAGAATTGGGCTCAAACAAGGGCTATATCTTATAACGAAGCAACATACCCTTGCCCATTCTACTGACAATCTGCGCCTGTCATAGCCAAACGGTCTGCCATCAAGACCACGGATGGCATCTTCAGCATCTCGCTCATCCTCAAAATATACAAATGCAAATCCTGCAAGAAAAGTAGCATGAGACAGATGCAATATATAAGGTTGTATAATGACCTTGCAGCAGTGTGCATCAGCTACTAATTCAGGCATTATTTTCCCGTAACAAGTTAGATAAAGTACAAAACCTGCAAAATTGTGAAGGTTCTGGTGAAAGTAAGGACGTAGAGGCCTTGCATGATGAACTAAAGCAAGAGGATGAATATGATGAAAGCAAATAAAGGCTTAGATCCATGGTGTCAGGTCTGAGTTGTCATTGCTAAGCATGCTTCACCAATAACACAGCACGAATTCAGTATATAGAAGACATGGCATGAAAGAACTCATTGATCTCCTTATGATTAGTGATTGGAGGCATGGCGTGATGAACTAACACATTGTCCCTTACAATTATTGTGGTTGGCATGGCATGATGCACAGATAGTTCCCACCATAACATTCTGGTGAGATGGCAACCTTAGGCATTCAAGGAAGTGAAAGCGAAGATCGAATGAAAAAAATGTAGAATGTTTCCATCTGAGTAGGACAGGGAAGCAGATAGGTTGCCTCTGCATAGAGGTTTATAGTGCAGAGAAGTTGACGAGCCAAGATAGAAGCTCATATTCCCTTAGTAGATGTTCCTGCGTCAAAACAAACGCTTAAATGTGGAGATCTTTTCCAGTAAAGACTTCAATTTCCCACCATTTTTTTCCGCAGCGATTTTATACTTTTTTCCCTCTTTTTAAATTTCTGTGGACAGATCTTGTCACGATATGCATGTTGGATATATATTCAAAATGACATAAGTATATTCATTAACAAAAACTTATTCTATGAACTTATAATTAACCACAAAGCTAGAATACACAAGAATCAATAAATGTAATGGATATTAGAATACCAACAAGAATCAATAAATGATATAGATATTTCTAAAGCCATTGAGAAGTTAAGATAAAAGAAAAAAATACACAAAATAAGAAAATTATATATAGTTTAGGCACAAATTAAATACCTTATAGATAATTAACAACCTAGGAGACTTCTCAAAACTGAGAGCACTAAACTTTAAGTCCATGATCAAGTAAACGCCATATTAA